GGAGGGTCAGAGGGAGAAGCAGACTCCCTGCCGAGCAGGGAGCCCGATGTGGGACTCGATCCAGGGACTCCAGGATCATGACTTGAGCCGAAGGCAGTCGCTTAACCGACTGAGCCACCCAGGCGCCCAAGGGGATGGTCTAACTTTTAATTGTGAGGGTTACCCATCCTTTCCCTCTTATTTACCCCTGGAAGTGAGGGATTATGGACTAATGCACACACAGTGTTCAGAGACCGGCTATATTTGTGACTTTGGGTTCTGCATGGTGGTGGTAGCGTGTGAGCAATCTTGGCCCAGTGAAACTCAGCCTAGCTCCATGATGCCTCCTTAATCAACGTAATATAAGGTCAACTGTCAGGGCCCTGCAAATTCACCCTATCCTGGAACGCCTTTCTAAAAATTGAAGCATAATTAACATTAACGTGCAGTGTTATATTAGTTTCAGGTGTCCAACATTGTGATTCAATGATTCTATACATTGACCAGTGCTCACCACCATAAGTACATACAACATTATTGCAATATCATTGACTATATGCCTTTAAAGTGCACTTCACTGTGGAGAGAAACCCAAGCCCGCTTGACCATGTCAGAGGGAGAGAGACACCTTTTCTACTTCTTTCATATGGAAGTTATTGCTGCCTTTTCATGGACTGAAAATTACCGATTGATGGAACTACATTTTCATAGACACTTTGGTGTCAGAGCATTTCAACAAATGTATGCTTTGGGCATCTCTCCTTCCCACTCAGGAGACAATGTCTTAATTATTTTGACCGAAGCCAGACCGTGTTGTGTGTTGTAAACATCTGGTTTATCATTCATCCAGCTGAACTGGTTTATATTTTGTTAGAAGAAAAGGCTCAGGATTAAAGGCATTTAAGTAATTAAGCACACGTCAAGACAATTTGGTGATGGGTAAATATAGTCTCTGTTAAATGCACCGTCTGGGGCCTCTGGTTTAGATTTATGTCCGGCTGGAGCACGGGGATGAAAGCAGAGCGCTGGGTGGACTGGGCCCTGCTCTGAGGGGAATCAAAACCAAATGGGTTTTCAAGAGTTCACCACTCCTCTAAGTACCTGTCCCATGGGATAAAAGTTTCCTTTGAGTTTGGCCTGGAGGGAATAGAGCTGCAGTCCCTGTCACCCAGCAGCACTTGTAGATTTAATGAGGCTCTCTTTGGGAGGCCGACCATAAACTCTGCTTTGGTTGATCCTTTGTGTCCAGGAAACCAGAGATGCCTTGGAAGCTAAGGCCTCAGGTTTTGTGTTCTGAGTGTGTGTTTTCAGGGACAGGCCCTGGCGCCTGAGCCCACCCTGCTCTGTTCCTTGACCCTGACCCTCTGGATGACAAGGGACCGTGTTGCTAGGCCTGGCCGGGTCAGGCTGTGTAGAGCTGTGGTTGGTGCTGGGCAGAGGAGAAGCATGAGCCTTTTTCCTTTAGGGATTATAGTTCTAAGAGCAAGAGGTATGAAGAACCTAGTGACTTAAAGGGACTGTAGGGATCTGTGAGATAGTCCTCAGTGAGCTGTGCTGTGTTTGAGCCCAGGCCCTGCTTCTCTTTGTGGGGAGAGGAAAAGGACAATATCCTCTGTGCTTTCTCCTTCTTCCTGGCTCCCCTTCTGGGGGCAGTAGGATGAGAGGCTGGATCTGTCTCGCTCTCTCTCCCTGGGTCTAGAGCAGAGAGGAAAGACTAGATGTGATCCTGAAGAAGAAAGCTTTGCCATTATGGCCAGATGGATGGGGCACGATGGAACCAATTAGCTCATTTTTGCTGAAAAGAAAAGAAAAAATTCAGAATTTCAGTTTTCAAAGCAGAGACTTAAAAAAAAAAAAACCCGTTTGATTATTTTCGTCTTCTTTCAAACTGATTTCCATGCTTGTTTGGGGGTATTGGTTTCTGAAGTCTGTGGGTGACCCAAGAGGCCAAAGCAATTCTCATTCTTGGGTGAAGTTGTGGATGAATAGTTATTTTCAACTTGCCTCCCCCTTCCCGGTTCCTCCTCCTTTTATGTGCTGTTCCCTCCCTCTACAGCAGCCGCTGATTGGGATCACCCATATGATGCCATCTGGAAAAGAGGGGGTACACAACCCTGGAGGACAGATGCACATTCCCTTAGAGCATTTTGGGGCTCTGTTTTTCTGGGTTGGGATAACTCAGGTTTGAGGACCTGAATTGTATTGGCCCCAAGACAAAGAACCATTGGTTGGGCTTCTTCTCTAGGAAACAGACTAATCAACCAGAGTTTAAAGGTTATTCATCAGCAGAGGTTGCCATAGAAAATTGGGGGAGTGAGGAAGACGGGTGCCTGTGATAAATGGGAAGAGATACTGCAATAAGTTTAGCCATGGGGCTGGTTGCTCTCATCAGCCATTATCTCTTCTGTGTTCCCAGCAGTGAACTAGGTGCCATGAGAGATACAGGTGAGGCGGAGGGGGGAATGGGTACCTTGTGAGCCTTCAGGGGACACACACAACAATGGGCAGATGACATCCTACAAGGGAGGTGAGCTGTTTTAGGCACGGGGTATGCAGGAAGCTTTATTTGAGATGGGAGGTAGGGTACACAGCTTTAGACCTCCAGTGATTTGAGATCCTTCTGAGGATTTGGCAGCAGGACCCATGAATTCAGGTTGTCAGCTTATTGCTGTCAGACACTCGGCTACTGTGCTCGGTGCCCAACAAAGCCGAGAATTCCACACCTGTTTAACTTTCTCCATGCAGTTCGGGACCTGTCTTCAGGGTACACGCTGCTGCTGTGGCTACCGTGGGTGTGAGTGCAGGGATTGGGGCGGGGGGGAGTAGTGCACAGGGTGTGGTCTAGTTTAGAGCTGGCACCGCCTGTGATGCTTCAGCCTCAATCTACATCGACAGCCCTTTTGGAGCTTCGAGCCACCCCCACCCCCTCTCCTGACTCAGGACTCCTCCCCTTGATTATTGTAGGCTTCGCATTGCTGTGGTTATGGCTCTTGAACTGATTAATGACGCTCAAAGTGAAATTGTAGTCTTGTAAGACAGCTGCAGCTCGTTCAGCCCCTGGGCACCCTTCCCCCATCCACACTCCCTTTACCTACCCTCTGCTCCCCCCACCCCCCAAAGTTATTTCAGATGGTTTATGTTCATGCTAAGGAGGAAACTTAAAATCAGGAAAGGACTGGCCCCTTGGTGATGCTGCCGCTCTCAGCTCACTGGAAGAGTGGTCACTTCTGAGAGCGCCCCCTGCAGTCTCCCGAGGGCCTCTGCTTCCACGTGGGGCCCATAGCTGGTCTTCCTGGCATCCCGTGCCCTAGAAATGAGGCAAAGAGGGTCAGGCTTTGAGGAAGAGGAGGCCGTTGAGGAGAGAGGATTGTTTGAGAGCCTCTGCGGTCTCTGTATGTGGGTGGGGTATCGCTTGGGAAGGGGAGGTGGAAAATGTCTAGATTTGTTAACCATCATTGTTGTTTATCCAGAGCCGTGCAAATGCAGATTACTTAGCATTAGTACATGATACATGTTTCCTTCCAAAACCAATTTTCTTTCTTCTCATCTCACGACTGTCTACAGTCTCTCTGGAAAGAATGGTTCAGGGTAGAAAGCGTGTTTGAGACAAGGGAAATCACCGTGTTCCAGAGCTCACCCCTTCTCCTCCCTCTTCATGATTACATATGCATCCTTGCATGGTAGGGTCCTCAGTACTGGGGGTTGGCGGGATATAATGTCTCCCATATGGGAGCCAGTGACCCAGGACAGACTATCCTGAATCAGAACATACAGACCATTTTATAGTCTCTGAATAAAACTGTGAATGAAACGAGTAAACAACACTGCTTCTGTGCTGGGCAGAAAGTTCTCTGTTGTGACTATGCTGGAGTTATAGGGACAGAGTCATTTACTCATTTAGCATATATTTAGTAGGGTCTGCTATGTGTATGTGGTGTGAAATACTGTTGGGATTAAAACATGAATCTCTTGTGTGGTTTTCAAACTTTGTGGCCTCAAGAACCCTTTGCACTTTTTTTTAAAGATTTTGTTTATTTATTTGACAGAGAGACAGACACAGCGAGAGAGGGGACACAAGCAGGGGGAGTGGGAGAGGGAGAAGCAGGCTTCCCGTGGAGCAGGGAGCCCAATGCGGGGCTCAGTTCCAGCACCGTGGATCACAACTTGAGCTGAAGGCAGACACTCAATGACTGAGCCACCCAGGCGCCCCCACTTTGCACTTTTAAAAATTGTTGAGAGTATCCAAAGGACTTTTGTTTAGGTGGGTTATCTCAGTCAATATTTATTGTATTAGAAGTTAGCACTAAGAAAATTTTAAAGCACAAGGATACACAAGCACACATTCCATTAACTGTCGGGGGGATGATCCCATCCCAGTCACAAAACCCCACTCTGTAGTCATGAGAGAATAGGAGGGAAGAAGCAAATAATGTCCTAGTGCTATATTATAAAATTAGTTTTGACCTTGTGAACCTCCTGAAGGGTCATGGGGATGCCCAGGGTTCCCCAGACCACATTTTGAGAACCGCTGCCCTGGGGCACCCTACCACAGGGAGCTAATGGTCCAGGCAGACCAGCCATGGGCAGGGATAAACACTGCTCTGGGAAGGAACAGGGAGGCGCCAGAAATGAGTTCGGATACTGTGCCGTGGGATGCTCTGATGTATAACCATATGGATCCTAATCATAATAACTTGTCGTCATTCCTGCACTGTCACTGAACACAGGTGGTGTCACCTGATGGCCGCGGCGGTGGCGGTGGCGGAGAGTCTGCAGTGTTCTGGGGGGGATGAGGACGGGGGCGCACGTGAGGTTTCAGAGAGCACATTTGATCCTGGAACATAACTTTGCATGTGGGAAACACAGATATTCTCGTGCTAAGAACTGAAGCTCCACAGAAACTTCTAGATTGGGGGTGATGGAGGAGGAGCACACAGCGAGCCTCAGCTGGGAGGTGGTGGGGGGTAACGTTTCCTGACAGACAGAGGTGAAGTCGAGAAACCCCTGGCCTACAGTTACCTTTTCCGTCTCCCCTTCTTCCACAGGCATTAACTCTCTGATAGCAAACAATACCTACGAGGCTGCCTACCCTCTTCATGACGTGAGTATCGTTTCCGCTGCGCGCTCCGCGCGGTCTTCAAACAGTTGCGCACCGCAGGTGACGCAGCGGAATGCACGCGGGCGGGGCAGGAGGGGGTCACGCCGCTCGCTCACATGCCTGGGCTGACCGTGGCCCCCTCAGGGCCGGCAGGAATCTCCTCCGAGGCGACGGTCTCTCCGGGCATTGCCCCCGTGGCCAGCTGGTTTGGGTGCGAGCAGTTTTGGGAGGTGGTGTGAGAAGGCAGACGGGGCGTGCGAGTGTTTGAAGGGAGGAGGCGGTGGGGAAGGTGGGTGGGTGGCGGTGGAAGGAGGCTCGAAGGCCCAGGTGTGGTCAGACCCCGAAACGACCGAAAACGATCCTTTGTACGTGATCGTTTTGTGTGGGTGTGAAATCCCTCATCCTTAACAGGCAAGTACATAGTATCAGGTTTCTTTCTTAAAATAGATTGGGACACTTTTGAAGCAAATCTCTCAGAATTCCTTATACTCTTGTTTGGTTAAGCAGAGAAGACAAGACAGACTGTAAGTAAAGCTTCCCCCGATGGGGGGTCGTGTTAGAAACAGGGCAGCGACCTTCTTCAAGACGCTTCACGAAGAACTTAACTGGCCCATGAACGAAATGCCCTCTCTCGGCGGCATTGCTCTCTGGCCGGTCACTTCCTTCGCGTGTGTCACACGGTTATGCCAAATGAGGCTGCGGAGCGGGGGGCTCCCTGAGGGCCCGAAGGAGTTTCCAGGTGACAGTCTCTGCCCACCGATAGCTTTGCCGTGGGCATGTATGATGTCGTGGACAGTGGACGGGTCGGGGCGGGGGGGAGTGTGGCGTGGCGCAGGGTGATTCCAGACGGTATGCCAGGCACGCGCTCCACCATTGCCTCTGCTCCGAGGAGGCTGATCGCGGACGCGTCGGAGGGGAGCATCTTCGTGTGCGAAGCTGTCCACAGGAAACACTGCACGTGCTGCTGCCTCACAACACGGAATATTGGCTCCTTCCCAGGGCGCGCTTTTGACTTTCCTCAAAAGGGGAACGAGAGAAAGGGAGGACGCCAGAGAATAGAAAAGAAACTCCTTTCTCTGGTTTTGATAATTCCCTTGGCTTGAGGCAGCAGCACTCCTTTCTCTCTTACAGGGTGAATACGACAGCCCAGGGGATGACACGAATGACAGACAGGTAAGCCGGCCCTGGGCCGCACGCAGCGCTGGGGCGCGGGGGACTGTGGGTGGGTGTGGAACTAGCCCCGCACGTCCTGAACGTTCTGTTTACCCGCTTAAGTATTTTTCAGCAGTTCTTCCACAGCTCCCTGCCCTCCAGGGCTTGGAACCGTGGGGGCCATTTCTGGTCATCGACATGACAGCGTGTGTCCGGGGGTGCTACGGGCATTTAGCGCCTGGAGGGCCAGCAGTGCTCACCATCCTGAGGTGCATCCCGCAGTCCCACCCCCAATGACTGGGGGGCCTCAACTGAGAAACACTGAGAGTCCAAATTCCATGATTTCTAGGTGGGGAGACTGAGACACAGAAGGAGTGAGCACCTTGCCCACGGTGACATTGCCACAGGGAACAGAGTGGAGGCTTGGAACACCTCTGACTCCCAGAGCCAGTGTCCCTGTTAAAAATGTATTATTATCCATGCCATGGTGGCTTTTGCAGGGGTGGGGGTCATCTTTAACTTATTCTTCTTACCCTTGAGGCAGACAAGTGGGGGATAGCCATTGCCAAATTAGAGGTGAGAAATCTGAGGGAGAGGGAGGCTCAGTTGTGCTGTGTTAATCAGAGGTTACAGTTAGGGGAGGGAAAACATCCCTTTGGAAGGACCCCTCCTGTGCCAGTCACAGCACCTGCCCGTGCTGCTCTCTCCCGGCCCTTCATCCAGATCCCCATTCTTCTGCATGGGTGCACCACCCTCCCCTGCCATGACATGGCACTCTAAGAACCACCCGCCTCTTTATAGTGGGGACTGCCCCATCTGGCTGTCAACTCCCTCATGCCATCCTCCCACCCAGCTTCCCCCAGCCATCAGCAACTCTGGCGAGCAGAGGAGGGAGGGCAGGGGCGGGAGGGCTGAGGACTTGAAGCCCGAGGAGCGCCCCCCTCCCTCCCCGCCCTAGCTCTGTTGTCTGGAAAATTATTCATCCCCCAAGTTGCCTTTTGAGCAGCCTTCTTTTTATCCTGCCTATTAGTCCCTGTTATGAAGTGTTAAGTATTAAAAACATAAAAGGTCTTTTCCAGAAATACTGCCGTGATTGCTTACACATGTCCCCTCTCTGCCTGCCCAGGGAATCTGCTGTAGTATTGCGATGTCTTAACCTCATCTGTTTTCTATCTGATGCTAATAGTCTCGGTGTTTAATTTCCTGAAAAGTCCCGGATCAGAGTTAAAGGAAAAGGAGGAAGCGTTTCTCCTCACATCTCACCTAGCTCACCCCAACCGTTTTCTGTCCTCCCACTTTCTCATTTCATGTTCCTCCCCTTTAAAGAGTGATCACCACCACTGCCCACCTAAGAATCCTCCTGCTGAGTGGGTGGTGACCCCAGCCCGGTGAGGTGGAGCACTTTATAGGAACATTCCAGAGACCAGGAACACACAGTACCTCCTGGGAGAAATCAGCCAGACCTCTGTTACCTGCACAGAGGCAGAGGGAAGCAAATTATAGACCATCTGAAATATATGTTTGTCTTTGGAATGATGTTGCGTTATTATTAACAACACAATCTTGTAACAAAAATTTTTCCTTTCAGGAAATGTTTTGCTTAGGCCAATAGAATTATTCCCACTGCACAGCAGAACTGGCAGAATGGGTAGAAGCTGGGAGTTAGGGAGAGACCAGCTCAGATGGAGCATCACCTTGGTGGATGTTTCCCAAAGTTGATGTCAAAAGGCAGACAGTTATCTTTGAAAGACAGGAGGCCCCTTTCTTGTGTCTTTGCCTTGAGTTTGCTGGCCAGTCCTTATTTTCCTCTGCCAGGGTCATGGTTAGGGAACTAGGCTTTGCTGGGATGGGGGTAAGAGAATCCATGAGAGAGGAAAAGGTTTTTTTTTTCTGTCCATTTGGGTTGGAAAACTGATTCCCAACAAGGTGAGGAGATGGTTCCAATGGCTGTAAATGATTGTCGAGTCAGGACAAAAGCCCTGGTGTCCAAAGGCCAGCCAGCCCTGGATAGCCAGGTACTCAGCGTCTTGTGTATGGCAAGGGGAATTCTCAGCACCGCGCTGGCTTTGTTCCTGCAGTTTCAGTGGTATATGGGTGGGGCCTAAAAGAATCCTCAAGAAGAAAGAGTCCAAACCTCTGAATACGTGCAGCATATTGATTCATTTTAATTGAATTATAATAGTCTAGTGTTCTTGGAGAGGGCTGCAAGAAGGATTTTGGTTGGGTGCCAGGGAGAATCCTTGCATCTGTTGCTGGAGGGCGTGGAGAAGGGTTGGGAGCTGTAGTGGGATGCCCCCTCTGGGGGCCTGTAGAGGTGACTTGCAAGGGCATCCCAAGCTGCCCGTCCTGCTCGTACCTGGATGTCCTCCTTTACTCTTCCCTGCAATTCGTGCCTGTTCCCCTGATCTCCCTGAGGCCCAGGCTCCTCACGGGCAGATCCCAGGAAAGCCCTGAGACCCCTGAGAATACAATCTTCTTCCCTTCCAGCTCGCCTAGTGCAGTTGTGCAGCCTCAGTGACTCAGCTGCAGCTAGGGGCTGGAAGTCTCTCCCCGTTCCTGGAGGGTAATTAACAAGATGCACCCTGACTCTGGAGAACAGGGCTTTTCCGCCTCTCTAGAAAGCAGGGCAGCAGGAAGAGGGAGCAGCGTGGGTGTGGATGGGTTGTTACGTCGCTGCCAGTGGCCACTTAATTCCACGTTAGCCAGACCTGTCTGGTTTTCTCAAGCTTCCCAGGGAAGTGACCGTAAGCATCTTCAGAGGGCTGCCCGAGCCCCGCCAGCTCCCTGCAGCTTCCTCACCCACGTACAGGGGAGCCTAAGGCACATCACTGGACTGCGATTCTCTTTAGCAGTTTTTAAACCCTGGGTCTTGGATTTTGCAGCTTTTGCAGATGATTGTCTTCTCTAGTGGATGGTTATAAAGTGACCCCACGAAAAGGTGTGTGAAGAGAGTCACTTCTGTTTTTCTGACCAGAAAGGTACTTTGGTCCTGGGTTTCACTTGAGGATTGATTTTCCCCTCCTGCACTCATTTTGCTAATAGAGGAGGCCTAGAGAGTTGAAGTGACTTGCCAACAGTTCAAACAGGTCATTGCAGGATCTGGGAGTAGGATCCCCTTCTCTCCCATTCAGTTTGCCCTGTCCCATCACCAGCTCTCAGTTGGCTGCATTGCCATCTTTCTTCCTGTTAGGAGGTCTCACTCTCTGAGGAGCCTGAGGCCTTTGGGAGAGCTGGGAGTCTCAAACATCTTGCCATTCTCTGGCATTGCAAATGGTTTTAACAGTTGGGTTCCTTTATGGTTTCATGAAATACTTAAACCCACTGACCCACTGTCAAATGTGACCCCCAGGGAGCCGACTGGCTGCTTGAATGTTCTGATCCATCAGGTGGGGTAGTCCCTGTGGATCGTGGCTTCCTGCCGTAGAGGTTTGGGGTCAGGCTGGCATGTCTGGAACCATATCCAGGGCCTCTGATAAAAGGCACTGTCCATTAAGAGGGAGCTGCAGACCTTCCCTAATCTATTCGCAGGCTTGGCCAGTCATGATGAGGACATTGGTGTAGCTCTGAGGGAGAAGGTGGCTTTGCTAAAAGCTGCATTAGAAGGATCTAGACACTGCCCATTTAAAGAGATTTTTACAAGATACTGTGGATGTCTTCCTGCACTTTACTCCACCATACTAATCCCCATGGGGCAGAGACTCCAGAGCATGCCTCCTTCTACCCTGACTGCTAGTCTGTTCTGGGACCCTTCAGCCTGGGCTTTAGCATGACCCACTTGTCTCTGAGTATGTGTGAGTGAACATTTGTAGAGAGGGGGAAGGGTCTACAGTGCTCCCCACCCCTGCAGGGAGGCATGAGCCGGCCTGGGCAGAGCCACGTGGGCATTCGACCCTAACTGCTGTGTCACTCCCAGGTTTGGTGCTCCCTTGCAGGGGCAGCCCGGCTGCACTGAGCTCATACAGCTCTCTTGGCTCATCTTCATCCATATCCACAAACTGAATCTAGCTTTGTGCTCAGAGGGCAGTACACCGAGGAAGGGACCTCCAGAGGTTTCTTGATCCCAGCAGGGGTAAGGCTGGTGAGCATGGCTCTCAGTTTGGGGCGGAGCCAACTGTGCCATCCTGGTTCTTGGAGCACATTTAACTTTTCCTTGCAGGGCAGTGGCAGATGGGTGCTCTCAGGCTCAGGTTTTGGCTTGATACGTGACTCGGAGAGGAATCCGCTCTGGAGGTCAGAGCCCGGGAGGCAGTCAGTGCCAACCCACAGCCCTCAGGAGAGTCCTTGCCCGTACCTCCTGACGCATGCTGGCCTCCCTTAGGGCCACAAATGATGTCACTGTGACAGCCAGGTGCTGGTGAGTGCAGGGATCGCACTAGCGGAGGGAATAAAGACCCAGGGCAGTAGAAGCATCTGAGGTGAAGGGGAGGAGGAGATCTAATGACAACAGTAAGATTTGGTTAGGAGCCAAGATTTGGTTAGGAGCCACCTGCCTGTTAGGAGAGGCATCTGAACTCGCGGACTCACATCCTCCTCTGCCAGTCAGGCTTGGAGTAACCCCTTTGTTTGTGCCTGGGTTTCCTCCTTTGCATGTGGTGCTCATGGTGGTGGCAGTTTGCTCTGTCAGGGTCCGTGAGGTTTCGGGTTCTGTTTCGCCATTGTTGGGAGAGACTATGACCATAAAGGTCTAAACCCATTAAGGAGGAATGCCAGTTCTTATGTCAGTTTATGAAAAAACCATGTCTTTAAAGGGTCTTAGGTGAAAAGGGTGGCCTCCTGCTGTTCAACTGGATATCCAAAATACCTAGTTAGGGCAGGTTCTCCTGGACAGAATTCCTCGTGAATTCCGTGTGATGTGTAAGGAGAATAGAGAACATAACAAGATAGCCAGTGTCTGGCAAACTTGTCAAGTCTAGACATATAATTTGATTACATGCTAATATCTCTTCAGCGTGGATATCTAGAGGATGTCTAATTACTTCATTTACTTGGGGATAATCTGTGAAGCTGGCTGGCCAGGTGTTTGAAACTGAAATGCCGGGAGTGACACCTAGGTTTTATCCACATGCTAGCCCTGCTAAAATTGCTGTGCAGACATCACAAGATGGCACGCCTTGATGTGGGTGCATCATTTCCTTCCTCAGTGTTCCACTCAGGTGTTGCCCCCACACTGCCACGGAAACCACTCTTGTCAAGGTCATGAGTGACCTTAAAGTCACCGAATCTGGAGGTCACTTCTCCATTCCCACCTGACCTGACCCATGAGCAGTGTTTGCCACAGCGGGGCATTTTCTTCTTTTTGAAACCAGTTGTCCCTGAGCTTCTGGGACACCACATGTATCGAGCCCTCTACATCGCTCGCGGCTCTTCCATCTCCTTTGCTGCTCATCATCTCCTTGGTCTCTGAAGGTCTCCGCACCGGGGCCCCACTGACACACCTCTTCTTTACCTACTTCTTTACCTACTTCTCCCTCAGTGGTTGCATCCGTAGCTTAATGACCTCATAGATCATCTCCTGTCAGGCACCTCCCAAATTTACATCTTCTTTGTAAATTTAGGAGGTGGACGCTCCTTTGAAATCCAGATGTTTGCATCCAGTTGCTTACTCAGTAGCCCCACGGGGATGCCTCCAGGGCACCTCAAATTAGCACATCCCAAAGTGAACTCCTGGTCCTATCCTTCCCCACCTGCTCTTCCACGGCGCATGGCGTCACCATTTACTCAGCGCCTCAGGAGAGGTTCTCCATCCCACCCCACATCCAATCCAACACTAAATCCTACGCTACCTTTAAAACATAAGCGGAACCACCCACTTCTCATTACTCCCCCACCGCCTCTGTGGTGAAGGCCGCCTCCATCTGTCCTGGACAGTTACAGAGACCCCTGCTCCTATGCTAGCCCTCTGTCTCTTCTCCACACGGGGGCTGGTGTGAGCGATCTGCAGGCCAAGCCGGATCATCTCTCCTCACTGCTGCACATCTCCCCCTGGCTTCCTTCAGAGTGCAAAGGTTTTAGCATGGCCTGCAAGCCCCCAAGTGATCTGCCACCTCAGTACCTTCTGATGTTATCTCTGATTATTCGCCTCATGCTCACGCTGCCCCAGCCACACGGCTTCCCTGTTTTCCCCAGGACATACCACATGCACTTTCCTCAGGGCATTTGCACAGGAAGAGTGTTCTTCTGCCCAGTGCACTCCCTCACTTCCTTCAGGTCTCAGCGCGAATGTCACCTCAGAGAGGCCTTCCCTTGCCATCTGTCTGAGATAGCACTTCCCCCACTCCCCTGTCCTTCGTGTTCTACTCCCTTGCCTTGATTTAGCTTTCCGCATGACATTTATAAATCTTGGATGTTGACATGTTTCTGTCTCCACACATCAGGGTGTAAGCTCTATGGCAGAAATGACTTTCGTTTACAGCTGTGTCCAGTGTCTGGCACATAGTAGATGCTCAGTAAACACTTGTTTATGAGTGAATGAAGGGACACCAGGCTCATTTTGCTGGACTAAGCAAAGCAAGGGAGTGAAGAAGGTGGGTTATGATTGGGAGGTGCAGCAGGCGCTGGCCTGGAGTGTGATGAAGGTCACCTTTATTACGTGGGGAAGGGAAGTCAGCCTCTGTAGCCTCCCACCTTTGGAAACCTTCCTTGTGGATGTCTTGTAAGAATTTTCCTAGAAGCTGGGCTTTGGGGATTCCGTTTTGACTTGCTAGGGTAGTTGTGGGGGTTACAATTCTGACTTGCTAAGGTGAACAAAACAAAAGGTGAATGGTTGCCCCCTCCACTCCTAATCTGTTTCCCTCTTCTTTTTTAGCTGCTGTATCGAGAATGGGCACGCTATGGAGTGTTTTATAAGTTTCAACCTATCGACCTCATCAGGTAAGACGTGAGGGGCACTCTTGGGAGGACCCTAGAGCTGCAGATTCTGAAAGATACCCGTCAACCCTCTTAACCCCTGGCAATCTATTGGCCAAGCAGAGGGACCTGCTTTTCTGAGCTATGATTGTCCTGCTCTATTCTGATGCATGGGGAAGCAGCTCAGGGACAGGGAGGGGGATGGGGTCTGTGTGGGGCAGCAGATAATGTAATGGATACACCATGACTTCCGTCTTGAGGTCTTCAGCACTATGGTGCACTATACTTTCCTTGCCTGCTCTTCTGTGTGTGTGTGTGTGTGTGTGTGTGTGTGAATGCAGTTATCACTCTTATCTATTGTCCCTTCAGATTTGTCCTGGAGAAGGATGGGGTGAAGCAGATCCTTAGGTTATGCAAAAGTGGCCACGGTGTTGACCAAGAGAAGGGAAGACCTGGCAAATCGCATGAGGAATAAGCTGGCTGGTCTGAGAGGGCATGTCAGCTTTTTATGGTGGGAAGGGAGAAGAGACAGGGTCTTGGAATCCCTCCCTTCAGTGCTGCCCCTCAAATGATGTCTTGGTACCTTGGGAGTTTCCCTAGCTTCTACCGAACATTGGTGAAAGTCCTTTGAGAGAACTTACTAGAATGCTGTAGGTCTGACTAGCCTAAAGTCGGTTGTGGGCTCTAGCAGCTCAGTGGGTTCGTTGAGCCCAGCTTTTTACCCAGCTGGAATGTTGGGAGGTGACACTGTGAGGTGGGAAAGCACTGGGCTGAGAGTGGAGACTGGGCCCACCTCTATGGGCTGTGGCTTCTTTGGGCAAGCCATGTTCTCTCCATGGTCTCCAGGATCCTGGTTGTCATAAATTGGGGGAAAAAAAATGGGAGACTGAACTGAGGGATCTGGGAGGAAATTTGGTAGCACATACTCGTTTGGGGAAGATGGGGGCTTTTGCCCCATGACTGACATAATGGCCTCACTGCCACACAGTGACTTGTGGCTCTTCAAATGAGCTAATTAATCAGCCGGCAAACACAGAGAGTGTCCCTGGCTAATTGCCCGGGGCTGGGACTGTGAGAGGGGCAGCTGCCAGAAGGATTGTGTCCAGGCGGAGGAACTCTAGCTTCTTCTTGGAAGAAGAGAGCAGCCTGGGGGCCGCAGTTTGGGTAGGTTCACCGCCCACCCAGAGATATGACGGCCCTCCCAGGGAACTGGGAGCTTGGTTGGACGTCTCTTGACAGCAGGTGTTTGTTCCAGCTGAAGACCGTTAACTGCAGTGCTGGGGTCACGGAGCAGGGCCATGGGGTGCCTGTGGCTGAGGCTTCCTCACCCTGCGCCTCCCATTCCCAGGCTGCCTTGTATGGAACATGGGCCACCTAGACTGTTCTCTGGGCCACACCAAGGCTGTTTCCTCCATGCTTGGTGGGCTTTGATCTTTCTCTCTGCATCCCAAGTGGCCTCCCACTCTGTCGCCTGTTTTCTCCAACTACTCATTCGTTTTTTTTAAAAATATGATTAAAAAATAAGAATTCTCCCTACCAGAGAGCTTTGTCTTTTCCCCAGAGACTTTAGGTGACTGGCCACCAGCTAAGTGGGAAATGGCTCCAATGTGCACTCAGTTTTGGCCACCAAAGCAGCCTCACCTGCAGGGGAAGAATTGCCTTTGGAGCAGAGCCCCGCTCTGGGGCCTGGCAGTTCCTGAGGACACAGAGCTCAAATCTGTCTAGACGGGGCATGGTGTGCTGCAGAGTTGGAGGCTGTCCACTGCTCCTCACACATCAGATGGCTCAGGGAGCTCCCATAGCCCCCGGGCGAGGCCAGCAGCTTGGCTGGTTTGGCTGGGAGGGAGGAAGGCTGGAGCCTCAGGCTTCTCTTGGAGGTTGTGCATGTGAGGGCCCTAGGGGGCTGTTGTCTACCCAGTGGTATAAGAAACTCTCTGACCTCAAGGAGCTGCTGGAAGGAGAAAGTGACAGTAGTGGGGAGAGAGGGAAGGGCCAGAGGCATGAGGGGCAAGCAGAGTAATAGGTGGGTAAGCAAAGACAGATAAGCAAGAGCAGGTTGCTGGAGGGTTCATGAAGAGAAGAGAGGGTGCAGGGTGTGGGGAATGGCTACCCAGACTCAGCAGGTGCCACCTGAAACTCACATTACATTGCCTTCCAAATGGCCCAGCTCACTCTGATTCTGTCAAAGCCACCTCCTTCCTCCTTGCTCACTTCCCACTGCCCCCTCTGATATCAGGTCCTGTGGGTGCTTTTCAGTGTCCTTTCTCTCCAGCTGCTTCTCCATCTTTCCTGCCCCCACCTGTCGGGACACACCCGGCCCGCAGAGCCCACCCCCCACCTGTGGCTGCTTGCCCTGAGCCCTCACTTGGCCCCACACTGTCAGTGCTGTTCCATTGCTACTTACTAATGTGAGCTGTACCCTCTTTGTGCCTCGCGTAGACATTGTACCCATATGTCGGTACTGAAAAAGATTGGCAGAAGCAGGGGAATCTTATATAAGTTAGAAATGATAATTTGTACAAAGCTTACAAGAGGTATTCCCACCTATTTCCTTGGACACTCACCTCCTTATTTTCAGCATGGAGCTTCTGTTCCTCCTGTGGATCCCCAGTGCTCCTCCCTTATGCCAACCATTTGGAACATTCTAAAGCATTGAGCAGTTGAGAACTCAGTGGGGGTGGGAGAACTGTTTGCATTTTGAAATCCCCAAGACTGTCTTTCCCCTTCTATAGGCCTTCAAGCCTAGACTGGCAGTTTGGGGTTTGAGGCTCCTTTCTCAGGTGTTGAAAGTGGACAGAGGGGAGGCAAGATACCCTTCCCTGCACCCCTCACCCCGGTCTCCTGCTCCTGCACCTTCATTCATGCCCAGCAGGCTGCACTGTGAGACTGCTGATGGGTGTCTCCCAGCCCAACAGGGCTCTCCAACCCTGGATCCTAGCTTTGCTCTAGAAAGCTTGGGTGGGGCCTTAGGCCTGAGCTGACTGTAAGAGTGTGTGTGTGTGTTTGTGTGTGTGTGTGTGTGTGTGTGTGTATAAGTGTTTCCTGGAAAGTTCCCCAGGGAGGCATCCAGCAGGGACGCCACTCACAGTAGCTCTCTCTGGGAACTTGACGCCAGCAGTGCTTGTGCCCTGGCAGAAACACGACTTGTGACCAAGACAATGGCTGAAATGATGCCTTCGCTGGAAGTAAATGACTCTTCTGGTCCCTTAGGAGCCGTAAGAGGGTCCTCGCAGCCAGAAAAGTAGATTTTTGTCTGCACTGCTCTGGGTTAACTCCCCAACATCCCAGGAGGGAAACAGCCTTTATTGTCTGGGGAGCCTGGGGGTCTGGGGCCTTTTGGATTTGTACAGGTGTGATCCACTATTAGTCAGGGCCATGACCTGTCTTTTCACTAAAATTAATGTCTGCTCACAGGCTGATTTTCTTAGCTGGAAGGTTTTGATATGGATGAGACAAAGCAATAGGCTTTAAGCTGAGTCTGACTGAGCTCCTAACTATGTTGAAACTGATCTACAAAAATTTTATTTTCAGCCCTGGCCACTGCCTGCGTAGGATGGTGTGAGGAAAAGAGGGGTCCAGAAGTCTCCTAAGCTTAGCATGATGGCAGCCCATTGGCTCTGGGGAATTCACCAAGGGGATGATGCACAGGCAGCCTAGCATTCGCTGTACGGAATCAGGGTTATGGTCTGGAGAGGAGTGATTGATTGGCTCTCCCTCATTCCCACCCCTCTCAGGAATGCCCACTTTGCGAGTGAGGGCTTCCTAAAAATCAGGCCCTGGACACGGAACCCATCCATGTGGCAGCTCTGGGATTCTCTTAGCAATGTCCTGGCTTGAAGCCTTCAGATACGAACACTTCCACAGTGACTCGAGAGTGATTTCTAACAGGGTCATACCATCTCAGGAGCCTTTGGGCCTCATCTGTGGTGAGACGCGCGGCCCTGTGCCCTGCCTTGCTACGTACACATCTCTGTCATCGTAGAATCCCAGCTCTCTCCAGCCCCGCCTGTGGGGAGCCTGACTGAAGTCCTGGCATCATGGGAGTTGCCTTTCCCTCCTCCTATGCAAGGCAGAGGTCCTTGCCCTTGCCAGGGTTCTCCAGGACAGCCACTAGAAGGCTGTGTGATTTGATTCATCCCTCTTGGTCTCTGGGCCCCAATTCTACCCTCCTGAAATGTGACCCATCCAAACCCCTCCAGAAGGAAGACAGAGGAAGCCACATTCTTTCTTAGGAGGCTTCTCGGCAGGCCAGGCTCAGAAAGGACTGGCCGCAGCTGGTTTGGGGGAGGGAATGGAGAGGAAAAAATGTTGATCAACCCGTGATTAATTATTTCCTGAGCCCTGCTGCCTCCTCCTTGATCCTTCTCTGGGATTTATAAAGGCAGTTCAGTCCAGCGCAGTAAGCATTTACTGATGCTTACAGGGAGCAGTCTCTGTGCTAGGCAGCGTGGGAGGTGTGGTGATGAACAAGGGGGTGTTTGTGCCCTGAAGATCTAGCAGTTATATAGGGAGGTAGGCATGTGCCAGGCAGGATGATGTGAGGGCTTATAAGGATTAGAACATAAGTACAAACATAATACTGCAGAACAACAGATGAAGAGTAATTGCTATTAGCAGAATAAGGGAAGGCTTCCTGGAAGAGGTGGCACTTGAATTAGAAATGTTCCTTTCTATTAAAAATAAAAAAAAAAAAAAAAGAAATGTTCCTTTCTGAAGGGCTGAGGTTAAAGGACCTAAATGTGTCTTCATGGCCAGCCTGGGCTGCCCTGTGTATGGATTTATTGTTTAGCCGGATATTGATGGCCAGAAATCCCACTGACCCAAAGCTAGATCCTTCATGACTATTGGCTGCGAGTGGTTAGGTAAAAAAGTTGACTTGGAAGCCTCACCTGTGTAGATTCTGTGTCAGTCTGGCCCATGCCCCTCGTTCTGCCCTGTGAGTTGGTAGAGAATTCAGGGTTGGAAGGAGGCAAGGCTAGATCCAAGGGAGGGGAGACCAAGGAGAGATGAAGTGTGGGGCTAGC